TCGTGTTTCATGTATGTATGTATGGGGGCCCCTGGTCTAGCCTGAGGGTACTAAGTGTTCCAGCAGCAGCTGCTGCTGCTGCTGCTGAGGAAGCATCTGTTTGTGGGGATCCCTCCCTTTTCGAGGCATTCGGCAGCGGGGGCTTGCTGCTGCCGCAGCAGCAGCAGCAGCAGCAGCAGCAGCATGATATTATATGTTGCTGCTGCTGCTTATGTGGCGCAGCTGCAGCCAGCACAGCGTCTCCTTGAGCTGTGTTGAGGTGTATAGGCAGCTGTCGTCGTTTTGGGTTTGTACACTGAGAGCGGGGGCCCCCCAGGACAAAGCCGGGGGCCCCACACTTTTGCTGCAGAGCAGCAGCAGCAGCAGCAGCAGCAGCAGCGGCAGCAGCAGCAGCAGCAGCAGCAGCAGAGGCATTTGGCATTAAATGAAGCGTTTTGATAGGGGGAGGAGACACGAGGAGACAGAGACAGAGACAAAGAGGGGCGGAGACGAACAGCAGCAGCAACTGCTGCTGCTGTCTCCTCCCGTTCTCAGTTTACTGTCTCCTCTCTCTCTTATGAAAGAGGCCCCGAAGCAGGTACTACTGTCTGCTGCTGCAGCAGCAGCAGCAGCAGCAGCAGCAGCAGTTGCTGCAGCAGCAGCAGTTGCTGCAGCAGCAGGAGCGGCAGCAGCAGCAGGAGCAGCTGCAGCAGCAACCGCAGCAGCAACAGCAGCAACAGCAGCAACAGCAGCAGCAGCAGCAGCTGCAGCAGCAGCAGTGGGGCTTTGTCTGTCTGCTACTTTAATTTGGTGTCTCTGCAGCAGCAACCAACAGTTTGGGTGTATCGACAGAGGAGGAGACAGTTCGTTTGTTAAGGAGACTAATTTCTTCTGGCTATTATAAAAAAGGAGACAGTGCAAGAGGGGGTGGTGATCTGGGTCGGTGGTTGTCTCCTCAGGGGGCCCCCCCCCAGGGGGCCCCCTTGGGGGGGCCCCCTGGGGGGCCCCCTGGGGGCCCCCATGGGGGGGCCCCCTTCTGTGCCTTTTCGTATCAACCTGAGGGGCCCTCGTGAGGGGCCCCCACAGCAGACAGAAGCAATAAGATGAGGGGGGCCCCCAGGAGAGGGGCCCCATGTGCACTTGTTTGTAGTGAAGGAGACAGATGTATGTTTTAGGGGGGAGAGAGGAGACAGCTGCTGCAGAAAGGAGACAGGAGACAGCTGGTGATAGAGACGGGGGGGAGGAGGAGGAGACAGTTGGTTGTCTCCTTTTGGTTTTTTATTTGTAATAAAGCAAAGAAGGAGACAGATGTGGGGTGGGGGAGGAGGAGGAGACAGAGAAAGAGACAGAAAGAGAAAGAAAAAGGAGACGAGGAGACAGAGGAGGAGACAGAAAGAAAAAGAAAAAGGAGAGAGGAGACAAAGAGGAGACAGAAAGAGAAAGAAAAAGAAGACAGCAAGAGGAGGGGAGAGAGAAAAGGAGACAAAAAAGGAGACAGGAGGAGGAGACAGATAACTAACACTAACTACAAAAGGGAGGAGACAGAGGAGGATAAAATAAAAAAGAAATAATATAAATATATATAAAATATAAATATATATAAAACAAAGAAAAATATATATATATATATATATATATATATATA